CCGCTCCGACCGGCTTTAAAGGGTTAAAAAACTCTCACAGTTGCAACTGCATGGAAGAAAACCAGTTAATATCATAAGAATATTACACTTTGTTTCTCGCAGTTAAATCCAAAAAAAGGTCCTGATACTAACTAATTTGGCTTTTCATATTAGAATAAAACAAATGCATAATAGAAAATAAGTGTTAGAGGAATCAAGTATAAAGGATTTGACATGAATGAAAAAGTACAATATAATGAAAAATATTTTTGATAGAAAGAAGTATGTGACACTGAAAGGAATCTATATTTACATTATTCAAATCTGCTGTCATGTGTTTATGAGACCACATAATAATCACACCAAGTAATGTTGGTACATTGTTTTTATTATTTGAATGAGCGATGTAAAACAGATGATTATAGATGGAACAAGTTTTGTTGCTTTGATTATTTTTTATTTCATTATTTATTTTGTGCAAGCATCTTCCCCCTTTCCACAATCACATCCTGGTTTGTCTCCAGAGAGAAAATGTTCTTCGTTTCTGTACTGGTAAAATTTAGCAGACCTTGAAGAAAGTAACTGCTAATTGCCAGTCTGTCTGCACATTCAGATTCATCACATTCAAGCTCTGTGTCTAAGCTATTACACAAGTAATAATGATGGACATTTTGTCTGCTGGAAAGAAAAGACATAAAGGCAGTTTCTCTCTTTGAAAAATGAAATGCTAAATAAAGATTCCTATAGTCTCAAAGACTGTCGACTAACTGTATTTATTAGTTAATAATGTCAGAGTTAATTTAAATCTTCCTCTAGTCAACGCTTGCCCAACTCCAGGCCTCGAGGGCCGTTGTCCTGCAGGTTTTAGATCTCACCCCGGGTCAGCACACCTGAATCAAATGATTAGTAGGGGTGGGTTTTGATTATCAATTTATTGATTAAAATCGATTCTCGCTTGGATAACGTGATATAGATTCATTAAAATCCTGAATTGATTTTTTAATATAAATTTATTTTGCCCGAAATGCCAGAATCTCAGGT